ATTGTACCTGTGAGCAGGCGCGATATATAGCGGCGAATAGGAGCAGCAATGGGTATATTGGAGCAGGTTAATATCGTTGTGTGTATTGGGGAATTATCTATAGTAGTGCCCATCGTGGTTTTTGGTGCCCCAACATTGGATGCTGAGTAAATTGCTGCCATTAAACTTTTTTTCAAAATCACAATTGTTATGTAATTGTAACTCAAAGGGTGTACAAACAATACTGATTGATTTAACACGGCTGCAAGATCAATACGGTACAGGAATGCACCACATGATTGTGAAATACAAACAATCTGTGCAAACCAATCCACTAATGAATCCTTTGTTGTCACATTGTGTGTCGAACGGATTAGCTTTGTGCATAAATACATGCACAGGTCGATGACCAAGGGGAAGACCTAAATCCAGACGATGGTAATGGGAATGTAAGAGCAGTCCTTGTTTGAGGTAAAATGTCATGATCTGTTAAAAATAAGGACGCTATGGTTAGGTGTCGTGGTATCAGTGGCATTGGCTGTGATGATCTTTTGATCCTGATCAGGGTGCATTAATAAAAGGTCCAACTCCTTTGGGAGAGCCATTTCCGTTACATAAAAAAAAATCACAATATAATAAATTGTCAATTATCTACTTTGTCTTTATTTCAGAAATGAGGGTGAAAATGGTCAGTAAAAATAATTTTACTGCAGTCCTTGGGAAAATTAGACATCAATAGATAGCATTTGAAATTAACAGTACCAAAAGGAACGAACACAATTACGTATATATGTCTATACACAGATAATTTGAGATCTAAACTTATAGCTAGCTGATTGCAAGCACCTCTTAAAACTGACAATGAACGTGGAGATATCATAGTCAGCATCACATATTCCTAGTCACCATTGTCTCCTCCTGCCGATCTTCATACACCACACCAGGTACACATTTCAGGCTGTGTTGACCTATGAGAGGCCCAATCTTCATTCAGATACCATTTGCCACCGGTGATTTGCATAGCCAGTAACATAACCCAGGTCACCCGGATCATAATCTAGTGAGAAAACCAAGATGACACCAGCCCCATTGCACGCACACACTATAAAAACAACAAAAACAAATGCTGGGAATAGGTTTTCCCCTTTTTTTTCTGGCAACAAAACAGGTGTGTTAAGATGTTAAAACACCAAACTGAAACCTTTTACAAGGAATCATGTCTGCATTAACCACAATACTTGTGGTCAAAATGCAAACAACAAAAAAATACTCTGATAATTTCTGCATTGTCTGATTGAAACTGATTGGTCCACACCAGAGACAGCTGGAGCCTCGTCTTTGGTGTTAGACCAGAGGACGTCTTTTGGCGTCCTCTGGTCTAACACCGTTTGAGACTCGGCTCCAAAGAAAGCTGTCTCTGGTGTGGACCAATCAGTTCAAAGACAATGCATCATATATTATCAGAGTTTGTTTTTGTTTGCATTCTGACCACAAGTATTGTGATGAATGCAAACATGATTCCTTGTAAAAGGTTTCAGTTTGGTGTTTTAACATCTTAACACCTGTTTTGTTGCCAGAAAAAAGGGGAAAACCTATTCTCATATTTTGGTACTGGCAAAGGAGGTCCCATGATGTAAAAAACATGCTATTTGTGACTTAAGTAGCAGTGATATCATCACACTACTTGGATCAGGCTAGGTGCACTTTCAGGACCATGTAATGTGCCAGAGGCTTTCTTGCATTAAGTCATGGAAAAGACCCAGGTGCTATAGATATTATAACTGAGATGATTGGTGGATGCACCACCTGTGCTCCCCACTACAAAATTGTGTTTGGCCACCTGACACTGCTCATATCCTTTACGCTTCATTGTCGTTAGAGGTCTCCAACGACCCAAGAGCATCTATCAAAAGCCTACTTCACAGAGGCCAATTTGACATTGCTCGTAGCAAACTCTTGTACACACATCAGCCCATCGCTTCTCTGGATCATGCGGCACCCATTTAGCCCCCGCTATCTGGCGAAAAAAAGCTGTTTGAGCATGCATTGCCTGGGCTTCCCTCACACAATGCAGTCTGGCTAAACCCAGGATGGATAGTTGGCAGGCCAACCTGAGCGTTTGAACCCAGTGCAAGTGTTTCTGTAAAGGGGTCCAAATATCGTAAGCATAGAAAAGAGGTACGGTAGTGACTGACCAGGCAGCTTCAATACAGCATTACATAGCCAATGAAAAGAATATTATACCCAAAGGTTTACATTTTTATTTGGAAAGTAATATCGCCCCCACTCAAGGGGGTGTCAAAACATTGTATCACCAATTTAAAATGTAAAAATTAGGTAAGATGCAGAACCATACAACGTACTTAAGGGAAAGCGATGAGGAAGTCGTGAGTCTTGCATTCCCTCCTAAACAAAATGAGACTTCGAGAAGGCCCAGCCGCCCATCATCGGGTGCAAGATCCGTGGCTGGGAGAGTCGGCCCTGCCGACTACATAGGTCCGTACCGAATTTTATAGAGCAAAATAGCCCGCTTGTACTGGATATTTTAAAACATACCGGAAGCCAAGTGCAGATTGCGGAGAGTTCGAGTAATTTTCTGGAAGCGGGCTACGCGCCTCAAAATTCGAGCAAAGGTGTTCTGTACTGGCTGAAGCTACCGCAACCAGGACACATGGGAGGTCTGCATAAAAGGATTACCACAGTCGATATGCGTCGATATAAAGACACGGGTCAATGATTTGAGGTCGCGAACAGGAAATGGAGCAAACCACGGAGTTGGCAAAGATAAAGCAAGATGGGGTTGACCACAGCCGCCACCTGGGCACACATGTTCAGGTCGCGGTGAAATAAAACACCCAGGTTTTAGACTTTGACACAAGGTGCATAGCCAGACCCCGATTCTAAACAAAAGTTTGACGTCACCTTGGTCCAACCTGGATCTAGCATCAGAGGCCATGATCATTACCTCCGTCTTGTCAGGATTTAGCTTTAGGCAATGTTACTTCAGATACACGACTGACACCTCGGACAAACGGTCAGACAGTGCAAATTGATGCTCAGGTGTGCCGGTAAATGAGACATAGATCGGTGTTATGAGGATACTGTAGTTATGGCAGGACAGACCATGCCACCGGATGATGCTCCCCAGTGGCCAAACATACTCGCTGACAAGTCCCTGCGGGACCCCAAACAGGACAGGCCCCTCAGGTGACACGGACACTCTGAGGGACCTACCTGACAAATAAGGTGATTAACTTTTAGATGGTTCTGACAATCACTGCTAGGGCATGGTTTCCAAATTGCAGGTGGTCCCATTTATCCCGGGAGCAAGTGTTGTGAGGATCGGGGTGAGACACCTGGGGCGAGCCCCTCTAAGAAGAGAGGAGCCTCTGTAGTGAACTTGACCGTGGGACAAACTGTAAGGCAGATCGCCTTATGGGCGAGAGAGATAGTGTTGGTGAAAAACGAAGGGAAATCTCTTGCTTCAGGATGTAGCAGACTGTCAACCATCCAGGAAGAGCCGAGCAGGGCAGTTTCTTGCTGAACCGATCTTCCTGGCGACAATTTTTTTTTTTTGTCAGGAAGGCCGCCTCAAGGTACTCGGCGTTGGCAGACTACAAGGACTGCCCGGTCAATGTCACGGTGAGCTATACGCCAACGTAGAGAATCTGCTGTGCCTATTGGATAATACAACCCTGGGGGGGGGGGGGGGGGGGGCAGGGGGGGGGGGTGGAAAGCTAAGTTCCCTAAGTGTTATGCCCTGAGAAAAGATTCGGTCAAATATATGGCCATGATCATGAGTTGCACTACAGACAGACTGGGTAAAGCCCATGGACCCCATTGTGTCCAATACATATGTGGTAAGTTCATCCATGGGATCACCAACCAAAGATTTGAAATGCCACAGCACAATAGCGCGTGGAAATTCCAAAATCAGCATAGAGAACCCCCTGATGAATTCTGCACAAAATTCCACCTGTAACCAACCTGTATATTATACCAAGAGACCAGCATATATGATTTGGTTACCAGTAGGGAATAATCCCTTAACTGCATCTGAGTATGAATGAAGCTTCCATTGTATTAGGTATCAATATCAGATCGAAATTCAACTTACACAGGTTTGGAAGCTTTTTGAAGCACGTTGTAAAAAATATGTTAAATAGAGCAAAAGCCAGAGGACATCGCTATCACCCCAAGGTGAACAGGTCCACTCTCATGAAGGTCCGTACTGATCATGAGCAGAGGGTCAGAGATGCTGAAAGCATGAAGAACCACCAAGAGCAATGGTCTCTTGATCGCATTATAGACCTTAACTAGGTATATAAAGCAGGGGAGTGGTTATACAATCAGTGCAGTCCTCCTTATATTGGAGGACCACTAGGGCATCCTTACAATCCTTTCGAGACTCATCCTGTGGCCCAGGTATTTGTAAGGCAACCCTGCACACAATTGCCACCTTCCACCAGGAATTTGTTCGCTAACCACTGCGCCACCACTCCCCACACAAACACCCACAGACACACACAAACACCCGATAATACAAACCGCATTAGTTGTAATGGACCTTTCTTTACGATGTGCATCAACGATTCCATAATTTGACCTTGGTGTCTGTAAAGCAGGATGAATGGAAGAACATTTACTTATTGACTTTTATTAAATTAAGTGTTCATTTATACGCATGGTAAAATTTTTTACGTACTATCATTTAGTAATTACAATCGTGCTGCTACAGCTGATATTGCTATACCTCAATTGCAACTGAATTATTAGTGTTTAATGAACATTATATAATAAGCATCGACTTTACCGATGAAATTGAACGGGTTTGTCTGCTGAAATAATTATCCCGCTCTAACCTCACACCCATCAGACAAGGCCACCGCAGACCAACCAGGACATCAACCATGGTATAAACACTTTATAAGTGTCTTACGCATTTTTAAGTTTAAATTCACAAGGTAATCAAACCCACTTGAACCTAATTTCAGCCAATCAGCGTCGAGGTGTCGATTGGCAGGTCAATAAATAAACTGAGCTTTGTTTAGTGATTTTATATGTATTGTTTTTTAAAGTTGCTTCATGCAGTGGCGCGCTTGGTTGATATCAAATGTTATTATCAGTATTATATGCTTTATTATGTTATTAATCATATCGATGAGCGAGCATAGGTGTTAAATACGAGTTCAGATCATGCTCAAGGGTCAACTAAGCACATTATCGCTCTGTGGTCAATAAAAGCAGCACTGCTTTGTAAGAAGTCAACAGGTGGTTTCGTTTGACGAAGAGTCTGATCGTCCCGACGCAGCCAATTAGTAAGGTTTGTCACGTAAACAAAACATGCCAATTCGTTACTAGTTCAGCACACTGGTGTGTTGGAGAGCGACATTTACATTTAGAATACGACGCTTCGCCCGTAATTACAACCAGCCTCATCAGGCGACGGCCAGAGTTGTGGAGAAATCCTCCTCCTGTTTCGCTTTTAAATAGGTCTGATCGTCCTCGCCGGAACGTGGAATTTCCACCGCCCACTCAGCGAGGCCGCTGATGTACAGAAGAGGTTCTACCTCTCGGCGAGCGGGGGGGGGGGGTAAATTTACGACGTCTGACTGTCAGTACTAACAAGGTGATAACGGTACTGATATACAAGTCATTTGGTGGCATTCAAATACGTTTAGACCCATTGGGTCAATGTGCGTCAAGGGGCGCCTGCCTCGGTTCCTGGCCCAGCCGTGCAGATGGAGCAGTGTGGGTGGTGCCGGTTGCGAGACCGGGGAGCGACAAGAGGCTGTTGGTGGGGGGAGCTGTCGCCGGGCATGGATTGGGAAGCGCGGATGCACGCGCACGCCCCGAGTATTTAAGTGGCTGCTCGGGAAGCTTTAGATCCAGTGGAACTGGGAAAAAACATGAAGAGAGAGAGAGAGAGCGCGTTCATCCTCTAAGCCACATCCAATCCCCCAAGAAGTCTCAATCACCCCCACCAGAGGAGGGAATCACGCAGGACCACCAGCAATAATGCACTGCCCATAGGAGGAGGAAGGTAAAGTTGCTGCGTATACTCTATAAGGCGATATAATGTAGACTTGCTTTTATTGTTTGCTTGCTTTGTCGTACATAAACATCGTGTTATATGTATTGTGTTATTAATATTGAATATATTCTGCTATAGGGCACTGTATATATAGTTAATATACAACCGAATTGATAATTAATCAAATGCTTAGATGAATGTGGTTTTTATGTATATCAATATTGGTTATCCTATGTGTGAACTGGCTCATGTCATATGAATGTGGAATTTCCATGCTGGTTTAGCCTTGGGGTTTAGACGCATACGTGTAACATGTTTAAACACAACTGTTGTGAATAATGGCATAGATAAAATGTACAGTCAATTATTTAAAAAATGCCTCTAGGTTTTAAATAAACTTCTAATCGATGTTTCAATTATTCTAAAAACGTTAACACAAAAGTGGGTTACAGTAAGATTTGTTATCCATGTTATTTTTTATTGGTTGGACGTATGCTTGGGATTAGCATGGCAGGACTGTGTGGAATGACCTTCATTCAGCAATATGTAGATCATGGCCAGTAATGATATGGTGATACCTGTATTCAGATGGCCAGTGATTTAGCCTATAATTTGGACACCAAAGTATACCAGCCACATGTATTTTTAGGGGATAACATGCAGCATTACCTACATGTAAGCAAATTCTGAGAAATACGACAAAATCTGTAATACTAACTGTAGGGTGTAACCATTTGTTGGAGCCTTACATTTTAACTGCAATGTTATTTTGTAAATAACGTACAAAATATAAATCGGTACTAATGTAAAAAACAAAAAAGATGTGGTCTTAGAAATCTGAGATTTCCAATGAGAACCTCCAAAAAAAATTGTCCAAAACACAGTAATCATAAAATAAACTACGACACATGGTGAACACCGTTTTGAAATACGAGTGAAATATTACATTGTTTAGGTAGTGGAGAATGCTCTACCAACATAGTGGACCTAAACCAGTGGTGGGAATCTAGATTTGAAGTTTTCGTGACTGCAGGGATCCATACTCTTTGGTTATTTCGGTAAAGTCACGTAGGTAGAAAATAAAATAAATCACGACGTTTCGATCGCAACACAAGCGTCCTCCCCCCTCTCTATCTCTCCTCCCTGGCTCCTCCTCCCTCTATTACCTATACAGCCTCTTGTTACAGCAGCCCCGTATGCCCACTTCAGCAATTGTTTCTTGCTGTGGTTGTCCCACCTGATGACGGACGCTTGTGTTGCGCCCGAAATGGCGTGATTTAATTTATTGTATTTTATACCTACGTGACTTTACCGAAAGAACCAAAGAGTACAGTGTTGTGAAATCTACATTACTACTGGAAGGGACCACCAGTCTCCTAATGAGACAACCCAGTGCTGGCTTCTTCATTAATCAGTGCAACCTCAGTAGGTTACGTTAATTTTATCTCAGGCGGAGGGATAATAAAAACAATAATGTCATACGTGGCCTTTACTTACCCATATTTTACCCTGTGCCCTGGACTTTTCAGCCTCCTTTTTTAAAGTATTTTCTAACAACTCCTTCAGTTCATTCCGATTACACGTTCTGATTTATGTTTTGAACAGATCGTTGCTTTCACCACCCTCATAGAAGCCGGTTTCCAGCGTTAACAGAAAACTGACCAAAGCAACGATTGACCTCGCTGTGGCCTATGCCAGTTTGGCGCCGTGGCCTGCTACTGAAAGTTGGCCAAAATCATCAGATGTCGTTCTACTGTACACTTAATTGACGTGATGCTCGGCAACCAGTGCCAGATTATCCTCGTAGCAAAAGTAGCAGCTGATCCTTACGGCGGTAGCCCGGGGTACCAAATAAAATAGTTCCGTGAAAAACTAAAATATAGAATCGCCCTGCTACAGAACTTGCAGGGACGACCTGGGGTGTGGAAGAGTCATTGTGCACTAGCCTGGTCTGGGAGCTTGTACACAAAACTGGGAGATGCACAATTAACACGATGCGCATCATAACCAGAACACTGAAACGAATGCCAATCCCCTGGGCTCTCTGTTCTGGCAAGATTAGAATATAAATGATAAAATATCTGAGACTGTTAAAGTTTTATTCATTAAGGTTTATTCAAATGACACTGTGACATGAGTGTATGTCACCTTTTGTTTTTATGAAAGCTTGGATTGCATACATTTCTACAGAGTCAAATGCTTCTTCAGTCAACAAGAGGCTGGGGACAATGGTAATTTAAATGCATTAAGACTTTTCCAGAATATGATTTAAGAGTGCGTATGTGGGCGATGGTAGAGAAAACCGTGAATAAAATCCCATTGTTCCCACTTTTGGTTGCCCTCTGTTTCATTCTTCTGTTCCCAATGATCTTCATGAACCATGTTTAAATATGTGATATGTGGTTTAATGGGTCAGTAGTTCTTCAAGTCATGATCAAGTATTCGTGAATTGTGCGAATAATGCGAATGTTGCTGGAACAGTTGATTCTGATTATTTTATTACATCCAAATATAACATTACAAAAAAAATCTAGGACAGCCAAATGTTGGCAATTTTAGACAGCAGCAATTCAAAGCAAACCAGATTCAAACGCCTGGAGGAGCAAAATAATACAATGAATGACACTACCTTAATGGTGGCGCATGCCTCCAATCCAGCACTGCGGAAGGCAGTGAAGGTTGGTGGATCGCCACACAAATGCTGTGAAACTCCCCTCCCGTGGGCGTTGAGGTGCCATACGCCGTTCCAACTGCATGGGACAGCGTGTGTGTCCCCTCACACGCATGGATTTCTTCTAGGTGTTCCGGTTTCCCCCACACATGAAGACTTATTAATTGGACAATTACACCTTAATATGTAGGGGACCGCAGAGCTTGGGTGGGGGGGTTGTTGCGGCTGTGGTTCCTTGCACCTCCGAGTCATTCTCACGTGTTCGAGAGTGTTCGCATTACAAGTTTAAATTATTATTAACGAGCATAGCAATGCATGGTAAATTGAATATTTGAGAAAAGCCCATAAAACCGATGCTGAACTAAAAAATTCGTTAAACAATTCAAAGGAGAAAATATTTCGGACAATACACCACAAAATATGATGAAGGCACCATAGCAAGAAATAGGGGCATGAAAATAGAAAACAGTACTTTGATAATTGCCAATTCATAAATTATATTTCTTAGGGATAACTATGGCACCATATGACATGATTCAGATTGTTTTCCAATCAGTGCAGGAATTGTATGCAGATTTCAATAGCAAAAACATTCATATATCCCTAGAATTTTAAAAAAAATTCAAATGTAGAGGTGGAACATTATTGTGTTAAAAAAGGTGATAAAAAGGGAACTTGAAAATGTAGACCCATTAGCCCCTCAACAAGTATACATATATATTGTTAATGAACAAAAAAACAGAAAATAGAGGCCAAACCAACCACAACGAACAACATATTATATGTGGCTAAATGAGAGATTTGTCATGTGTGTAAAAAATGTACCTCTTATTTTCAAACCATGCAGAGTATCTATAAAAACTGAGGTTATCAAATGTATCGAAAAGGCATCCAAAACAGATAATCTGCCCATTGAGCTTAACCGAAATGGGGAATATTTTTCAGAGCCCCAAAAAATAGTTGACAATTTTAACCTTCATTTTTCTGAAGCTGGTGACCTTTTTGATAATGTATTGGGAGTCACCCCTGCTCATGCAAATTCCTACACCCCTGTCCAAATATTAAACGAATTTAGTTTCCAGCCAATCCACGAAAGTAATGTTCTGAAACAACTGTCCTACCTCAAAGGGTCCTCCTCTACCGGAGCAGATAGTATTCCCGTCTTTGCTCTGCTAACTGTTGGTCACCTAATATACAAACCTATAGACCATATTTTCAACCTGTCCATCAAAGAAGCATCAGTACCTCTAGAATGGAACATTCCTATGTTCGTCCACTTCACAGAGGGAGCCCTAATGATGATCCAAATAACTACCGACCTATCTCAATTTTGTCCCCGTTGATGAAAATTTGTTAAAAATGAGTGAACTACCAAATTAGCAGTTTCCTGTCTGACAACAATCTATTACATCGAAGACAATCTGGGTTCCGAAAAAAAATACAGCACCACATCTGCTGCATTAGACTCTCTGAATCACAGTTACAGTAGCCTTGATAATAAGCAGTACTGTGCCTGTCTTTTTCTTGACTTGTCCAAAGCCTTTGATACACCCTGCTTAGTAAACTAAGTTGCCTCCATTTCTCCAAACACGCAGTAGAATGGTTAAAAAAATTACCTCTCTTCTCACACCAAAACTGTGTTCATAGATGGCTGGAGGTCAAACAGTGTTAAGATAACAAAAGGGGTTCCACAGGGTTCCATCCTCGGCCCCCTCTTGTTCACTCTTTATGTCAATGACTTGGGCACTGACCTGGATCATTCCAGGGTAAATATTTTTGCAGATTACACGATACTGATTACTACTGGCCGCTCTCCGGATGACGTGATTGCTAAACTCCAGGGTGATTTCAACAAACTACAACATCAGCTAGTTGCTCTTAAACTAGTCCTGACTACCTCCAAAACCAAGGTGCTATGCTTCTCACCAGGACGAAAGCAGGAAGTTATTTTTCCCAAATTACATTCCTTAAATAATTATCAAATAGAGCAAGTCAAGATCTATAAGTATCTTGGGGTCATCCTTGATTCTAAACTGAATTTTGAAGATCACATTGATTATATTGGTAAAAAGACAAAAATAAAAATAGGTTTTCTGTATCGACACAAGCACTGCTTCCTCCTTATGATCTGTTTGGAATTGATAAAAGCTACCATACTGCCTCTACTTGATTACTGTGACATCGTATATAAATCAGCCCCCACTGAAGAAGCTTGACTCAATTTATCATTCGGCCTTAAGATTTGCATTGAACTGCCCATATAGGACTTACCACTGTGATCTCTACATTGGGTCAAACTTAACATCTCCTAATGTTCGACGGCTTGTGCATCAGATCTTATTTATTCACGATGTACTTACAAAAAAATCCGCAGACTACCTGCTGGATCTCCTCTTTGTTTTGAAGAACAAACGTGACCTAAGGTCTTCGCTCATTTACCAGCTTCACATTCCTTATTGCCATACAAATACTGGAGGAAGGGCCTTTGCTATTGATGCCCCCAGGGGCTGGAATGCTATCGCCAATAAACTGCAACTTGGATCACTACCTGTGAGATCTTCACTCAAAACTGCTCTAGAGGAGTTGTACACCCTAGCTGCCACTGCTATTCAGTGGCCTGAAATCAAATATTTCGCTCCAGATGACCGCTGCAAAGTATGATCTTGTGTTTTGATTATAATGTGCTGATCTTTAAAGGTGCATAAAAAAAAAAAATATACTCCTACTGATAGTCCTGCTGTTATGGAGTGACTCATGCAGCCAGCTCCAGTGAGGGAAAAAAAAGTATTTGATCCCCTGCTGATTTTTTACGTTTGCCCACTGACAAAGATATGATCAGTCTATAATTTTAATGGTAGGTTTATTTGAACAGTGAGAGACAGAATAACAACCAAAAAATCCAGATAAACGCATGTCAAAAAGTGTTATAAATTGATTTGTATTTTAATGAGGGAAATACTTATTTCCCTGCAAAACATGACTTAGTACTTGGTGGCAAAACCCTTGTTGGCAATCACAGAGGTCAGACGTTTCTTGTAGTTTGCCACCAGGTTTACACACATCTCAGGAAGGATTTTGTCCCACTCCTCTTTGCAGATCTTCTCCAAATCATTAAGGTTTCGAGGCTGACGTTTAGCAACTCGAACCTTCAGCTCCCTCCACAGAATTTCTATGGGATTAAGGTCTGGAGACTGGCTAGGCCACTCCAGGACCTTAATGTGCTTCTTCTTGAGCCACTCTTTTGTTGCCTTGGCCGTGTGTTTTGGGCCATTGTCATGCTGGAATACCCATCCACGACCCATTTTCAATGCCCTGGCTGAGGGAAGGAGGTTCTCACCCAAGATTTTATGGTACATGGCCCCGTCCATCGTCCCTTTGATGTGGTGAAGTTGTCCTGTCCCCTTAGCAGAAAAACACCCCCAAAGCATAATATTTCCACCTCCATGTTTGACCGTTCTCATGATCATTGCAACTCCACGAGGTGAGATCTTGCATGGAACTCCAGGCCGAGGGAGATTGACAGTTCTTTTGTGTTTCTTCCATTTGCGAATAATCGCACCAACTGTTGTCACCTTCTCACCAAGCTGCTTGGCAATGGTCTTGTAGCCCATTCCAGCCTCATGTAGGTCTACAATCTTGTCCCTGACATCCTTGGAGAGCCCTTTGGTCTTGGCCATGGTGGAGAGTTTGGAATCTGATTGATTGATTGCTTCTGTGGACAGGTGTCTTTTATACAGGTAACAAGCTGAGATTAGGAGCACTCCCTTTAAGAGTGTGCCCCTAGTCTCAGCTCGTTACCTGTATAAAAGACACCTGGGAACCAGAAAAATGTTTGATTTAGAGGGGGTAAAATACTTATTTCCCTCATTAAAATGCAAATCAATTTATAACATTTTTTACATGCGTTTTTCTGGATTTTTTTGTTGTTATTCTGTCTTTTACTGTTCAAATAAACCTACCATTAAAGTTAAAGACTGACCATTTCTTTGTCAGTGGGCAAACGTACAAAATCAGCAGGGGATAAATACTTTATTCCCTCACTGTATGGCTGCAAAGTATGGTCGTACATGTTACGTATATCGTTTATTGTAAAATTTTAATCACACTTCCTATGATCACTGTTACATTGCTTTTATAGCTTTATTTTGGTGATTTCGAAAACGTTTTGGTTTAGCCATATTTGTTTGTTGTAGTACAGAGTTAGACTGATAACTTTAACTGAAATTGTCTTATGGTTGTTATTGTTTGACTTGCATCCCACTGGGATTTTTGCACACAGCGTTGATATACGGCGCTTTTTCTGGAAGACTTTGCTATTTTTCCTGGATTTTTCTGTTTGCACGTAGTCACTTTAAGATGTTTCTTGTTCATGTTGTTTTTTGTTACGGTTGCACCCGATTCAAGAGCCGAATGGCTCACAAGGCTATACCAAATAAATGAAACCGAAATGTTATAATTGCCAATATTGTCCTCTTGGGTGACAAAAATCAATGTACCACCTGGTAATGATGCATCACTAAGTTCGAAGTCGACAGTGGTTAGTTAACCCATTCAGTGCAATGTAAACCTGTATAACATTTATAAAAGGTGCGCGTGCCTGTAATTCAGCAATGGAGGCTAGGATTGGTGGAATGCACAAAACTCCAGGAGGATGCGGTACAAACACAACAATGTTTTCTTCATCTGTTCCGTCTGCAATGGGTTTTCTCCCAACACTCATTAATTTGGCTGATACCACTTTGATACGTAGAGGGCCAGCAGAGCTTGGACAATTGTTGGCGCCGACTAATCACGTGGCTGCTTTCCTGCTTGTCTGTGGTTCCTCGCGCCTCTGAGCTGTTCTCTCTCTACGAGTGAATACTGCGCAGCGCGTTACAAGTTTAAATTATTATTAAATGCGACTACAACTCGAGACATACAAAAACAATGGGCATTTCTTTTTTTACGAGAGTAATGCTTGGCGTGACAGAAAAACAGGTAATTTAATCCTCAGAACTGGACTTTGGCCACGTGAAGTGCAAAACTAAATTTCATGTGATGTTAGGCAGAGTAAAAAAAAAGCAGGTCCTGGTTTTTTACTTTATTGAAGAGTGGCAGAGTCGGCGGCATGGAAGACTGAGGGGTTGGGCATTTCAAACTGAGGGGGCAGCAGAGGAGAATGAACGACATCCCACTGAGTGCACCAGGTTAAGTGGAGGCTGCGATAGAAAGCTTTGGTTCCTGGAGCAGAGAGTAAGGTGGCAGGACAGAGGCGCAGGGTCAGATGAGTTGGGAGAGCAAGGCAGGCGTGAGACCAAACATTATTACATATTAAATATACTTTTGTACGTAATGGCCCTTGCCATAAAAATGTAGACTTGACAGAGCTTCGTCTGGACCACTAAGAGAGATACGTCTTCCTTAATCCCCCGACTGCTGATGAGACTTAAGATAATCAAATCCAGTCCATTTGCCTGCTTAAACGAATGCTGCTTTTAAACATTGGTCTGTAAGGTCAACAAGATATTGGACTGTTTGTGTATTAAACGACACTCACTTGCCTTTGGTGTGCACATCTTGTGTGTGTGTCACCTCACTTAAGCCATACCACCTGGGTCTTTCCCATGACCTCTTGCCATCGAGCTTTAAGCACTTAAGGTGGCCTTAAGGTGCATCCAAGCCTTGTGCAAGCACTTTGGCGATGTCACCGCCACTTACGTGCGAATGGCGGTTAGTTGCTGCTGTCGACGTGCTTGAAACACTGACCGCCATTTTTTTTCGCTCGTTCAACAGCGCACATCGCAGCTCGCAGTCCCCACCGTCGTCGTCATCGTCGTCATCGTCGCCGTCGTCAACCCCCCGTGCCACCGACACTGCCCGCCGCCACCCTCGGCGCCTCCCGCGGCGCGCAGCGATGGACCTCGCGCCGTGGAGGAACGCCAGCCGGACGCCCCGCCACCACAACGTCTCCCACGCGGCTCCCAACGCCGCCGACCGGCCCGAGGACGCGGCGGCGGCGGCGGCGGCGGCGGCACGCGACGAGCGCCTCGCCGCGGCGGAGATCGCCCTGCTGGCCGCCATCGTCGCCGTCGCCATCGCCGGCAACGGCTCGGTGCTGCTGGCGCTGAGCCGCACGCGCCGCAAGGCGTCGCGCATGAACCTCTTCGTCAAGCACCTGAGCGTCGCCGACCTGGCCGTGGCCGCCTTCCAGGTCCTGCCGCAGCTGTCGTGGGACGTGACCTTCCGCTTCCGCGGGCCCGACGCGCTCTGCCGCCTCGTCAAGTACCTGCAGGTGGTGGGCATGTTCGCGTCCACCTACGTGCTCATCGCCATGACCGTCGACCGCTACCTCGCCATCTGCCACCCGCTGAGCACGCTGCGCCGGCGGGGCGAGCCGAGGAAGCAGGCGCACGCCATGGTGGCCTGCGCGTGGGCGCTGAGCGCCCTGCTCAGCACGCCGCAGGTGGTCATCTTCTCGCTGCGGGAGGTGGAGGAGGGCGTCTTCGACTGCTGGGCCGACTTCGGGCAGCCGTGGGGCATGCGGGCGTACGTGACGTGGATCACGGTGTCCGTGTACGTGGCGCCCGTGGTCATCCTGGCGGCCTGCTACGGGGCCATTCTGCTCGAGATTTGCAGGTTTGGTGCGCGGCGTTGGGCGTCGATATCTCGGACATCTGCTGCCCTGAATCTATGGCCCCGTCCGGCAACTTGGAGCCAGCAAAGGGGCTGGCCATAAATGACGTCAAGCACCTGTGGGGGGAGGGGGGGGGGGGCGGGGTCAGACATTTGTGACGATGTGTGACGAGGGGTGGGGGGGGGGGGGTTGAGAAATGTGACGTCACGTCAAAATGTGAGACCTGACAGGCGACAGACAACACGTTCTAACTTAATTAAATTGACTTTGTAATAAATGTTTTCTCCTACAACATCAGAGTGCAGCGCCACATTAAATACGCACTACAATGACAATAGTTTAAAGCGATTTGAAGCATATATATTTTTGGGGGGGGGGGGGGCAGAGCTTTGTGACGTCATATTTGAGGGGGGGTCTGACTTTTTGTGACGCCGTGTGACGAAGGGGGGGGGGGGGGTCAAAAATCGTCCAAAATCGCGTGACGTCATTTGTGTACAAACATTTAACGGCCGAGCTATTAAGGTTCTCAAAACCAAATGTAACAATGAGAAATTAGATACAATTGTATATGTTTGCGAAATTTAATTAAATTCCTCACAATTGTACATAATTGCAAAATGTAGTTAGGAGAATTGTTCTTCGTCTTAAGAGGCCAGCTTGTGCACATGCCAATAAAATGGTAGTTGTTTTCATCAACCCCGGAGATGATACTGGGCTAAGTTGACCCACTGACCAAGATTTATAACTTACAACCTTCCAATTGTGAGCCATGTACAGCAGTCCCTCGGTTAACGTTTTTAATCAGTTCCGCGAAAATTACCGTGAACCGAAATAACTGTTAATTGAATATAGGAATGACATGTTAAAAGCATTGACAACAAAGACAGTCGAGGTCTTAACGCTCATGTATGAGCGTCGCTGATTGACCCGAGGCATGCTCAGCCCCACTTACGAGCGCTCACGTGCATCACGTAAACATACCGTTAATCAAAATGTTAACGTTAGTCGAAACCATGGGTTATCCCACGGGAGGCGAAACGTTAACCGATGTCACTATTAACCGGTTTCTGTGGCATTCGCTGGATCTCAGTGTCTATGACATGGCCATGACTTACTCCTCTTCGCTCCCTGTGGAGCACAAGGCCACAACAAGCCCACGCCATGCCGGACGGTTTTTTTTGCAGCTTTCTCTGCTTCACCCCAAGACAGGCCCATGGTCTTTAGTTGGTTTACGACCATTACAAGCCATTATTTACTCCAGCTACCTCAACACCAAGATTTGGCTTGTTTTAATTAACGATCTTTGTGAAAAAAAATAGATATACGTAAAATTTGATCCCAGTTGTCCTCCCCGCATCGTGTCCATTTGGGCCTCTCACCGAGCGGGGCATCCCTCTGAGAGATCGACATTGATCTCGCACGGTTAGGGGGGCAGGCAGCGCTTTCCCACCTGCTCTGCATATGGGAGCAATGTTTCTCGCATTAACAGACAAAAGATAACATATTTAAATTCTCAGAAATGGACTTCAGCCACATGAAGTGCAACACCGCATTTAATGCGATGGTTATTTTATATCTGTGCCGTCGTTGGTGACCCGACCGAGACAACTAAACTCTTTACACTTCAAAACCTGGTTTCATCACACACCGCTGCCTGGATTCAAACCCAGGGACTCAGCGGTTCCAGTTCAGGGCTCTCGACCTCTGAATCACGTGGTCACCTCGATGCAGTAAACCCTCTCTGGCCGCGAGGGTTACATTCTTCAAAACGCTCAGGAATTCAGAATTTGTGAATGCAGAAACCTTGTTCCAACGGGAAACATGGGGTGACGTTCCTGGTATGAGTAAACATACGGGGGACATGGTAAATGTTTAATAACAATGACTACAATTAATAAGTTATAAAGAGCAATGGGTTTTTAATTACCTGGATGTGGTGGTGATGGTGAGGAATTCAGGAGGATGACTCTTCAGGGGATGCGGGTGTTTCATAACAACGCCGCACAGTTATCATTTTAGCTTTCTAGAAAGCACTCGCCGAAACACTTTCCCTGATTGCATTCGCGTTCTCTTTAATGGACCTCACAGTCGACTCGTTTATACCAAAATGTATTAACAAGTCGAGTGTAAGTACGTATAAAGTAAAAATGCACAATCGCGAGTTCAGAGCGCAATTAATGCGAGACTTGAGGACCAAGCGGGCAGCTGAAGGGCCGTGCCTGATCTTCGCAGTTTAAAAAGTTAAATTTCTGCACGCACCTCCTCGGTGTGGATGCTCTGGCGCTCCAGCGTACACTCGCGAATACCGGAGTCCGGTGGGTCGCGAGTAGGGAATCAGTATACATTTAGTAATTCGCGAATAGTGCGCAACTCGCGAATCCAGAACTCGCGCATAGGGAGGATTTACTGCACTGAGAAATAATTTTAAGACTCACACGCACTGCCCGCAGGAACCTGCGCCTCAAGACGCGTGGCCGATACCCCAAGGACCCCCGGGGCTCGCAGTCTCAATCGCCCGTGTGCTCGCGCGTGAGCAGCGTGCGCTGCATCTCCCGCGCCAAGGTGCGCACCATCAAGATGACGCTCGTCATCATCGTGGTCTACGTCGTCTGCTGGACTCCCTTCTTCGTCATCCAGATGTGGGCGGCCTGGGACGAGACCGCACCAGACGACGGTGATTGCCATCGCCACGCCATTGCCTGTCGCCTGTCAGGTCTCACAGTTGGCACACCATCGTTCCTCCATCCAATTCCGCAAATGATCAGGCGAAGTAATGAGCGGCGATCGCCTGATAGTGGTGCTATAGAGAAGGCTCCAGTCCAGCGTTGTGGGACAGGTAATGTCGTGCAGCTACGTACGAGCAACCAGCAGGAACAATGCCGCCCCATAATTGAGCAGTGTGGATCCTTGCGTAATCACAGCCAGTGGCAGACGAGTCTCCAAATAGATTGATGATATCGACAAGCGACGGGATAGCAGTAGCTGTCAGTACGTTGCTCATTGTCATAAAGGGTGGAGGGTGTACCAATGCCCGGCCGCCTGTTAACGACCTTGCCCAGTATACAGGAGGTTGTGGGTTCGATCCCGACCCTGATGCCTGTTCCCCCTGTGGTCGTGTGGATTTTTCTCCGGGTCCTCCGGTTTTTCCCTCCTTAGAAACGTGCGTTTTGCGTATTGGGCTTCTATAAATGTCCACGTGATAAGCCACTTTGTTGAGCTATCATTTGTGGCCAGGTCGCGTCTGCAAAAGAGCTACGCCGCTCAGTGATCCCTACCTGGGAAAATACAAATGGTTGAGTTTAGTTTACACACTGAAATAGGTATTGATTAAAGGCGGAGTCCTTCACTACCTACAATTGGATATATAGCTTCTTCTCTTGAATCTTTCAAACACAAATCCCAAACGTAGTCAATAACATGAGAATCAAGCTGGGATTCCTGTAGGGCGATGTTCCGTTTGTCCAAATCAACTTACACACATCGATCCATCATCCACATTTCTATCGTTATTGATTGTGGTGATGTACTCTCTCAAGGGCAATACATTAAAATGCCCCCCTTCACATTCCTCATATTTATAATGTGGCCACGATATACTTTTGTGTCGTTCAGCATTTCAGTGGGAAATTTCATTTTCAATTTCCTGTACGAGGACATATTTTGCCCCGAGCTTTTGCTGCTTTCACATCTGAATTATTGCAGCCTAAGACCGTTACAAAGTTCTGCTGCAAGCATTCATCACGATTTTGGTCAATTATCATTCTCATACGTCAAACCACTCTCTCGGATGAAATTTGCATTCCAATTTGTGCCTTGAAGTCATTCTCTCAAAAAACGATTATTTGGTTGTAAATTATCGATGCTAAACGCAACTGGTTTTTTTACATGCTCAATGTCTGCCATTGTTGTTTTAATTAAAAATTCAATTACATAATCAGTTCTGATTTTTACATCGTTTGAAATTAATGTGCAATTTCACCTTAATGTTAAGGTTTGTTGTCCATATTTGTGCTTGTGCCGCACAATTTTGAAATCAAAGATGTGATTTAACTCAGGACACCTCTTCAGACCTTGTCTCATATTGCCTGAATGTGATGATTTCCATCTCTTGGAAAAATAAAAGACCACTACTGCTACTGCTTTTACTGCTAAATTAAGGAAGCCTAAGGCTAGGTTTAAAATGAATTACCAATGCAAGTGCATGGCTGAGAATTGAATGCTATTCAACGGGTTTGTAGTGTATTTCATGAACTATGAAGGTAACGATTCAGTTATTTAGTTGATAGACCTATAACAGAGGCAAGTGATTCGAGCAAGCACCTGCCAAGGCCTGGAAGGCATATGAGGAAGTGCTATTTCCAGCAATATGCCCGGATAACTTTGGTCCTACTGTACTGCTGTTCACCAATTGTTATAGAAGACACAAATACTAACAAAACATTTTCATCCAACCCCTTTTACACAGTCCGACGGGCCCACACACTTTAGGTAGCAACGGTTCGTCGCTGCTGTCGATCATCGCATCCAATGTGTTACTGCTGCTTCCACGTCGTTCTTCTCTGATCAAGTAGCTCTTCCACTCGTTGTCCATCTCTCTTTGTCTTGAATGGAACCCAATCAACATCGAGGTCACATCCTGATCAGCTGATTGGGTGCTTTAAAAATAACCTGATTATGAATCACAGTCTAATTTACTAATTGTTCTTCTTAGTTATGTATTATATCAGATTTGAAAGTAGCTGCCCGGGTCATAATTGGATTCATGAATCAATGTTTCCCCATTGTTGAACATAGGAATCAATAGATGCGACCGGAGAAACAATTAAATCCTTATAATGTATTTTGGAGTTGTGTTGCATGCTTTGTGATCCTATGCTTTGGAGGCCAGGGTTGGTGAATCGTGCGCAGATTTGTGAATCTTCAACATTTTCTAGGCATCCGCATGTGGATTTGTGAATCCATCTCTGCAGAGCATTGCGTGCAACCTTCTGAAATGCAGAGTGCGTTTTTTCTCGGGATACTCTGGCTTCCTCCCACGAAAAAACACAACAAGAGCCTCGAGACTCAAGTGAGGTTTTTTTGTTTGTTTAAACAAATAGCTTTTTATTTGACAATAAAAAAAACTCCTTTAAAAAAGTGTTTTAAAACAACGGTTTTATTAACAACTTCGTTTAACTCACGGTCGAGAAGTACGTCAATGATGCGGCGCCTGCTCCCACATCAACGCTTACTTGAATTAATTGATTACTTCCATAACTCGTTCACACGGTTGGGCGAGGCGATTCGAGCGTTTAGGGACCGCGGCGTTTTTTTTACCTACACAAATATATATAATAAGGCGTCCATACAAAATGTGAATTGCTTGAAAGTAGCGAATTCATGGATTAATTGATGCCGATTTTGATACAGGCATGCATTGTCACCGGATCTGAGTCCGTGTGCAAAATTTGGAATTGATTGGACAACAGGAAGTAGACTAACTTTTGATTACAAGATTTGACCACGACACAGGAATCAAGTTAAGTAAAACCGTTGAAAAAAAACCCCCGTGGCTTCACACACTTCTCTCTTGCTATTGAAGATCCCGAATGATCAGGATCACGTCGAAGGACTGATCCAGATTGAATGCACAGAAACGTTGATGATTTAAATCGGATGGAATTTCCGAATCGAATCGCGTCATTGAGGTGGATCAGACCCGGGCCTTGCACTTCTGCTAATGGCATCCGCACTTCACGGCAGCAAGTGTTTTTTTTTATTATTAATCACGAGCAGTAGCCTCATAAAATGTTCTGACATTAGAACTATTAACATAAAAAACAACGAGAACGCTTAGCCTGCTGATAGTTATCATGACGCTTTATTCATCAACATAAACAGTTCATTACACAAAGCAACACAATTTTTGTTCCTGGGGAGTAAGTGCTATTTCATAATTGCTTATGCCTAAAAAGTATAGAAAATGGGTATTATTCCCCACAAACTTTGCTTTTGTGTCCAGGACAGTGATATTTTGAAATTTACATTTTCAATGAGAACAAGGGCAAAGTTGCGTCTTTTCGTTCACAGAAAGTCAGAAAAAAACAACATGAATAAAAATTACCATGCATTTATATTAAAGTAATACAAAATAACTACAAAAGATTTAGAAGTGAGTAGTTTTTCGAGATTTACGATTATACTGTAAATCACTTTCATGCATCAGCCCCCAAATGTAGTCTCCCATCGTGTTCTCGTTATACTGTCCTTGGTAGCGGCGTTCAAAGTCCAGTATATCCTGGTGGAAACGCTCACCCTGCTCCACCAAGATGAGCATCAAGGATATGGACTTTGAGGGACATCCTACAGCCCATTCTGCAATAGTTCTTCACCAGAGTCTCAACCAGCTCCAAAGTTTTTGACCTTTTGATTGCCCAGGAAGCTGCGAATCACTGTGAAAAAGCTGTTCCAAGCCGCTTTCTCCGTACTAGTGAGCTTCTTGGGGAATTCATTGCACTCCAGAATCTTCTTCATCTGTGGTCCAATGAAGACACCGGCTTTGACCTTTGCCTCAGACAGCTTAGGGAAGAAGTCTTGAAGATAGTTGAAGGCTGCCGACTCCTGATCTACAGCTCTGACAAATTGTTTCAAAAAGGCCCAATTTGATGGGCAGTGGTGGCATCAGCACCTTCCGGGGGTCCACCAGTGGCTCCCACTTGACGTTGTTCCTCCCCACAGAGAACTCGGTCCACTGTAACCATTCCCACTTGTGGTAGTGCGCCTTGGTGTCCCTGTTGTCCCAAAGGCTAAGATAGCAGGGAAACTTGTTAAAACCGCCTTGGAGACCCATCAGGAATGCCACCATTTTGAAGTCTCCAATGACCTCCCAGCCATACTCATCATACTTCAAGGCATCGAGCAATGTCTTTATGCTGTTGTAATCTTCTTTGAGGTGCACCGAGTGAGGCAGGGGGAGAGATAGGTATTTGTTACCATTATGGAGCATCACGGTTTTGAGGCTCCTGGATGAGCTGTCAATGAAGAGGCGCCACTCATTCTGGTTACAGGCGATTCCGATTGCCTCGAACAGACTGGTCACATTGTGGCAGAAGCAGAGCCCATCTTGACGGGTGAAGAAGCGGCAAAAAGGTTGGTGATGCTTCCTCTGATTTTCGATTTGCGCACTTTCATCCAGCAAGTTTCACTGCTTGAGCCTAGACGTCAAAAGATCGCATTGGACTTGGTAAGACAAAGATCTCTGATCAAATCGTTGAGGTCTTTTAGGTTGGAGTAGTATGGGTTTCTCTCCTCAGCTCCACCCCTGAAATTGTCATCTGGATCTACAACGTGTTCCTCGCTCTCTGACTTACTGCTCTCTTCTAAAGACGGCTGCTCTTTCTCTCCGGAGGAGTGGGTACGGGGAGCTCATGGCAGTGTGGCACTGGGGCGATGGATGAAGGAAGGTCCGAATACATGATAGCAGGTCCATTCTTGCCAGTCCGACGTTTGGAAGGGTCTACCATGCAGAAATAGCAGCTGCTTGAGTGGTCAGTGGGATCCTGCCAAATTCTTAGGATAGCGAACTTCATGGCTCTCTTTTCCCCTCTGTACCATCCTACAAAAAGACATTTATTTCACCCATGACTAATGTGTAAGAGATTCTTACAACATTTTTCATATATGATATATATTTTTTCAATAACATTGAAAATAAAAAAAACATTTTAAAATTCTATTGTCCATTTTGCCTTCCAGAGTTTTTTCGCATTCCTCGCAGGTGAAATGAGGTGCCCAGGGCTGTGCTGAAAGGTTTCCCCATGGGGGTAACCTCTCAGCACAGCCTCAGGGGTCTATTATGGGCCTGGGGAAGAGTAGTAAAACGTGTCTCTCTAATTTCGTAGCAATAACAAATACTAAAAATGCGCATATATTTTTGTGCGCACATGTAGCAACCAGATGCTGAATACACACGTAATTATAAAAAACACCGACATAATTAAACGTTAATTTATTCGCCGGAGGCTGTCAATATGCACCTTGATAAAGACAGATGATGTGCACCTGTTGTGGGAGATTGTGCTGCTGCCAATGGCTGCAACAATAAACCTCCTCTTGAGCCATTCATTCAGTGGCGCAGTTGTGGGCGGCGCGGTGGCGAGATGTTATATTGCCTGGCCTCGTAGATAGGAATACGTAGGTTCAAATCCCGACCCTGACTGGCGCCTGTATATTTGGAATTTGCGTGTTTCTCTCGCCGTAGTAGCGTGGGGATTTTTTTCTCCGGGTCCTCCGGTTTTTCCTCCGCATTTAGAATCAACGTGCGTTTAGGAGTATGTGGCTGTTCTAAACGTCCACACGATGAGCCGCCGCCACTTCGTTGAGCGATCATTTGTGGCCAGGTTGCTTCTGAAGAGCTCAATGGGGCCTCACCTGGTAAAATCAATTAATAATGTACGTGACAGTCGGCGTTCGCGTCAGTTTTCACAATCCCACGCTCTCTCCCCCCTCCACCGCCCCCCCCCCCACCACAGACTCATCCGACCCCACCTACACCATCGTGATGCTCCTTTCGAGCCTCAACAGCTGCACCAACCCGTGGATCTACATGTCGTTCAGCGGGCACCTCCTTGAGGAGGTGATGTCCTGCTGCCGCCAGGCGCGGTGCGCCACCGCGTGCCGCCGGCAGCAGCGGCGGCGGCGGTGCCGAACGCCGACGAGGCGCGGGGCGGGCTCCCCCAACACAGAGCACGTGGTGGTGTACGCACTGTCGCCGGCACCCACGCAGTGCCGCAGCTCCCCCGCCACCGCCGCAGGTGGCACCGCCACCCCCCCCGAGACGCGGAGATCCGCAGCGCCGCTGTGGTCGCCAGCGTTACCGTAGGGGCCATCGCACCACCGATTACAGCGGCGAAAGAAGTTCAACGTGCGGTACCGCCCGTGCCGCGATTTTTGCCGATCTTAAAGGTGCATTGAGATATGTGGTACTCCCGACTGATGCTCCTGTTGTTTGTGGAGTGACTCATGCAGCCAGCTGTGGCTCTAGGGTTTGGTGTTACGTGTTATTTATGTAGTTTATTGTTAAAAAAAATTCGGTCACAGTTCCTATGATTACTGTTACATTGCATTTATGGCTTTATTTTGGTGATTTCTAAAAGTTTTTTTGGTTTGGCCATTTTTTATTATTGTAGTACGGAGTTAGACTGATGGCCTTAATCTAAGTTTTCTTGTTGTTGTTGTTGTTTGACTTGCATCCCACTGGGATTTTTGCACACGGCGTTGGTGTACGGTGCTATTTCAGGAATATTTTTTGTAGTTTTTTTCCTGGATTTTCTGTTTGCACATGCACAAAGTCACTTTAAGATGTTTTTCTTGTTCATGTTTTTGTTTTTTTTAGTTTGTTGCGGTTGCACCCGATTCAAGAGCCGAATGGCTCACAGGGCTATACCAAATAAATGAAACTATGAACTAAACTAAACTATGAACTACTGCACATTCCAAAAAAAAGTTTTGCTGGCTTGCGGGAAAGCGAGCCTGCACAGCGGTAACATCGGAGCGCACGTTCTTGCGTTCCGAGGTCACCCGCGTGCAACGGCGTTGAGCCGATTTCGGGCTGTCATCACGCCTCCCATGCCACCCACACTCCCTCCCTCTGCCCTGGGCTGTGGATCCCGTGAGAACGCATTGGCAGTGATTGTTTTAAGGAAAACAAATAAAAGAATCGCCATAGTCATCATTAATCGGTACGTACACTCGGGGCCCATAACAGGAAACACACAGTCGGTTGGTGTTTCAGGAAAATGAATGTAACACTACTATAATGAGCCAAGAATGTCTGTGTGTAACGCTCGTGACGTCACTTCACATGCCACACCCCCACCCCCCCGTCATGAATATTCATGAGCGGCTGGATTTTTACACTCATGCAGAAGAAGGTCGAGCGGGATTTTCTTTTTCGCAAATTCGCTTTCAGTTTGACGTTTCTTTATTGAAAGTTAATCTAATATATAATTCTACGCAGCTACAGAGTGGATTTGGTGTCTTTGTTTAATTCTTCAGCACTTGAGACAAAAACTAAGTCTAATGTATGCTTCTACATTATGGTAAAAGTCATTCGGTGATTTTCCAGATATTGAGTCGAATTCCAATTTATTTCAACCCCAGCGACCAAAAGCAGAAGAGAATAAAGTATCAGAGCAGTGAATTTGAACAAATTGAAGGTCGGTTATATACAGTGCTACAGTGACATGAAGTCAGGTGTTTTATGACTTAGTTTTGTGCAAGAATCACTGCCATTAATACAGTGCTACAGTGAAACGCAGTAAAGTGTATGATGACGTACTTTCGTGCAAGAATCGCTGCCATTAAATTTACACAAGATACAATAATACTCTGCTCAATTTTTTCGTAAATATAGCTTCTGTCCTAGGGCAAACAAACTAGTTTAATATACAGTATGTTGAGTTTATTATTACACGGCATGGCAATGTCAGCTAAAACTATTGATGCTTTTTTATTTAAAGCTTTCGTGACTGCAGGGATTAATATTCTTGGTTCTTTCGGTAAAGTCACGTAGAAGGGAAACAATAAAATAATAAAAATATGAAACAATAAAATTCGCACGACGTTTCGACTGCAACACAAGCAATCGTCATCAGGTGTGAAAAAACTCCCATCATTGTTTTCTTGTTGTGGTTTTTCACACCTGATTATGATTGCTTGTGTTGCAGTCGAAACGTCGTGAGAATTTTTCTACGTGACTTTACCGAAATAACCAAGAATATTGATGCTTGTTACCAAGAAAAGCCTGAGTCTCAGGACTGAGTTTTAGAGAGGACCTGCCAAGTCGTGCACAAGTGTCCGATTGTGATGTATATTCCAATTGAGTAATTTGGCAGGGATTTTTTCATATGAGGCGGTTTGTAAAAAAAGTATGTATTTAATTGTTTTGTGGTGGTGGATTGTTAATAAATGTGCCGGCTGAAACCTTTAATTGAAATCTCTTCAATTTTCAGAACTTTTCATCTTCACGGTGGTTAATTAACCTGTATCGCCATCATTCATGGTCTTCCTGCGCCGCGGTTAACACGAAGATTCTTAAATCCACCCACCTCTGTCCACACAGTTGTAAAATTGATGCATCGCGGTCGATCTGCAGGTCACTTGTGGTGGAATAAAGCGAGAGTAACTCAACATCTTCAAACACGTCTGGCCAGGATTGAAGAGTAAGACGGGGCCCCTCATCAGGGGCCCTCTAGAGCTTCCTCTAATGCAGTGGTTCTGAAAGTGTGGTCCCTGGACCACCAGTGGCCTGAATCGGTCCTCCAGGTGGTCGGTGGGCTGATGCAAATGCAGGTTGATCCGGAAATAACGACGTCTCGGGCATGAATTAATATTTTACTTATAGTTTCATTTAAAAATTAAGTTAGGTAAACTATCCAGATTAAACTACCATAACCCTAACATCTAAATGCCCCCCCCCCCCCCACTCCTAAAAAACAATCCCTTAAAAAGCTGCATTAAAAATGTATGTGCTGGTAATATGAATTATTTTGTATTACTGGTATTTCGAGAGAGAAGTGAATGCGTTTTGTCAGCAGGGGTGGGGGGCTGGGTGGTCAGCGGAAGAGTTTGAAAAACAGTGCTCTAGTAGGGTTTTTTTCTGTGAGCAATGGCTTGAGCGAGCAATGTTAAGGCTGCACCTTCCTTGGCTGCCACTCCATGGTTCTTGACCATCAGCCATCATCCCTTCGAGGGACACGTTCTGCCCAAACACACTGGGAACGCTCGCCTCAAAATTACGGGAGTTTAACAAAAATAAGTCATATCTTTGTTGATGAATGGCTCATCATCTCCTTGGGGGTCATTCCTGTGTGGTCAAGCCACTATATTGACAAAATCCAGTGACAGCTATTACCAATTGTAGCCGTCTTACCTACACCGGCTACACAATACACTTCGGCCTGATACATTTATTAAAAAGTATCTTATTTGTGGGTTGGGGCTTCTGTTGTGTAAACTTTGCTGGGAGATCAACTCCGGCCTGTTCAGCTGTCTTTTTTTGAAGATGGATGGAAGGCCTAGGGTAACCAACTCCGGCATCACCAACAGCTCCCACCAGTCTCCACAAAACGCCATTCTGCATCCGATCTGAGATCGCACTGAGATTCCACCATCACCCCAGAACACGACACAATAAATAATTATAGGAGGGGGAAAACATTAACCGTCAGTTCCCATACAAACGTACAAACACAACCATCATCTACTTAATTAATATGCAGTTAAAGTTCACCCGCAGCGTAGGATGGTAGTTCCCTCGCGTGCTGCAGACTCACCAATTTCAATTCTGCTGTTCCACTGCTAGCTGATGCTACTGGAGAGGTGCTGAAGAGCAGTTACCGTGGTGTCTGATCCAGAAAGGTACCGCTAGTGCCTCTGCTTCTACACTGCACTGGGCTCCATTTATACCCAAAGGTCTGCCACACAGCAATGTGTATCCATTGTTCAGAGAGGGCCTGACTTCAGATTCGTTTTGGCCAGATTCTCCACATATCCCCGACCCACCTATCCACATGCTGATCAAGAATTCAACTCACAACCTTTAACAACAAGGTTCTTTGCATTGCAGTTGTACTTCCAGGACCACACATCTGGTGCACACACTAATAATGAATTTACTGCAGTTACTATTATTTCTAAAATAGTTTCGCGAGCTGGGAACGCGAGGCATCATTTTCCACGATGTGGCAGAAGGTCCTCCTCGATCGGGAGCTCGAGAGAGCCACTCCAGAGGGTATATTGCCTTCTCTTCCAAGCTGGCCAGATCAGAATCATAATCTGTATTTATACTGGAGGAATCCGATGGAACTTTAAAGCTCTTTTTCACAGATGTCCAGTAGGGGCGGGTCAGAAAGGCACAACAACAAATAATACAAAAACACGATCGGAGTGCAAAGTATAGGAAAGGTAAGCAAATCACTAAAAATATGTATTTCATCACGTGAAGCCCACTGAGCTGAGTTAGCTTCTTTTTCAAAAGCGACCTGTCCACAAATGATAGTTCTATGAAGTGGCTTTTTCTGTGGAAATTTATACTACTGGGTAGAAATGGTGTGGGAAGGTGGGGGGGGGTTTAGGCAATGTGCCTATTGTTCAACTATCAATCCAGGAGATCGAATGGGCTACCTCTGGATCGCGAGTTCAGTGTACTGACGACTACACCATGGCGGCATTCCTGTTTGTTTCTAATGCTGGGCACAAAGTATTTATTGTTATCTCAATGTGAATAACGATTATGCCAGTTAAAATATATACTTTAAAACAATATATATGAATACAAATATTCTAACTGACAAAGACAAGTCATTATTTACATTTAAATGCTCCCATATTTAACTTTTCAAAGAAAGGGTCCCCTTGTCATGTGAAGTTATCCCGGCTGCTGAGATATTCATGTGAAGAACACCCAACAAAGACTGAGCTTCCCAGGCACTTTGCAGTTTTGTGATGCAGCTTTTTCAGCGATTTGCAACAAGCAAAATAGATCCTCGAATAAAGATGATGAAGTTGAAGCGCCTCCATGGGTGGCATATTAATCAGAGGTCCAATTATTTTATTCATTAAAAAACTGCCACTTACAAGCAATTTTAAATAGTGTGCAATTTACAGATGTACGAAAAAATAGAGGACTAGATCAGAGCACAATACCAATTACTGTGTCAACTGCTCAAAGCTCACGAGAAAAATGATCAAACATCTAAAGCAGGGGTCACCAAACTACGGCCCGCGGGCCGGATCCGGCCCGCGACGTCAGTCCATCAGGCCCGCCGTCAGAGCCTAAGCTCTGACCTTACCATGGTTTCCATGGCAACACACACAAACACGCATAATTCCCGCCCACAAGTATTGAACTGAATGATTATGCGGCCCGCGCTCGTCATTCTATCAGTTATCCGGCCCCCTGTGAAAAAAGTTTGGTGACCCCTGATCTAAAGCAAAACGAATCCTTACCACGCGAATAACACAAACTCATGTTTTATCTCTTTCTGTTCAT